GAAGAAACAAAGTAAATGAGATCCACACTTTCCAAACTTATGGGCCCTCCAGCCGGAAACACCTTGGGTATCGACCATTTCGCCGCTCCGGCAATAATCGAGCAAGCCTTTTTCTTGGTTGCCCAAGCAGTCACCACCTCATCTCTCAGTCTTGCGGACGTCCAACTGTAGCACCTTATTGGCAAAGGCCAGCTCGAGATGTCGCGACCCGACTCAGGGCTTGAAATCAACCAAGACTGGAACAAACGGTCAAACAGTGGAAATTAAATTTTTTATATTCGTTTGTAGTTTAACAAATAAAAAATTCACTAATTAAATTAAATTAAAACAATATATTTAATGTTGCATTGTTATTGGTTGTTCGCATCTTCTATAAATATTTTTCCTTCTATTGCTCATCTTTTAATCACTTAAAATCTAGCTGAAAAGTTAGTTAAAAATAATTATGAGCTAAACGAGACAGTAAATACTCGTACTTATAAACCACAGTAATGCAAAAGAAAGGGAAGCGATATGCATATCAGTCAAGCTTTTAATAACTAATAAAATATTTAATGTTATTCAAAGAACCTTACTATAACAAACACATATCAATATCATTTTATATTTATACAACCATCATAGAAGCATCGTCTAAAAATTGTGTCAATTAAAACACATCAATATAATATTATTTTTCATATATGTGCATGAGTAGTGTTCTTCCACTAGTATCATCAAGAGGCGACTCCAGCAAAGTCAGTTATACACATATAAGCAGTCAACATAAATATCTCATTTATATATTTGTCACATTAACTTCAGCATATTATGTAAAGCATACACCAAATGCATAAAAGTATACAACTACAACATTCATAACAATATGACCGATAAAAAAATTATCTTAATCAAAATAAAACATGTGCATGTGTCTTTAACTGTAAAACATTTGAGAAGAAATAAATTATTAATATAGATTAAAAGTACGATTACTCACCTCAAAATTATATGACTTATTTTATACACATTTAATATTTACCTCCAATAATTAGCTGCCTACAATATGGTAAAAATTTAATCTGAAGCATAACATTAATTATACTTAAATAATCTCTTAATTATTTATGTAACTTTAATTGTTGAATAGAAGCTTTATTTTTAAGTATTCATGTTAATTTAATTTGACTATGAGAACTTCAACTAAGTCAACATTTATGATTTTTTTCAATATTCAATAAATGTCCACCTAGCTTTAAATAATTAATTGTAAACTTTATTTTCATATTTCAAATAAATCATTTATGTTATTATGTTTATAACATTTATTAGTATTATACAATATTAAAATACAAAACTTATAGTTCTTAACTTAGCAAAAGCTCGGCCCGGCTCAACATCCGTTTTTCTTCTTTCTTGGCACACTAGCTTCTTCTCTCCTCTTTTTATGCTCAATTGCTCCTCTTCCTTCGCATGCTCGACTTCGTTCTTCCTTCACCCGAACACTAGGGCTTGGTCGAGAGCTCCTCTTGCTCTATACGCGATCAGACTCCAGCATGCAGAAGAGCTCCTTCTACAGGTTACCTCTTCCTCCGACTTCTCCTCGAAACCGTCTCACTTCTCATCTTTTGGCTTCAACATTCTCTTTCCTCATGCTTCTTCCTACTCACAACTTCTTCTTCCTCTGTGCTCACACAAGCTCTCGCATGCTAGCCGCTCGAAGTTCTTTGTTGCCTCCTCGCACGAGAAGTCTTTCAATTTAACCTGCATGTGGCTTCGAATCTCTTTGTAAGTTCCCACCTCTCATTTCCTCTCCCCTCTATTCATTTTCTTCAACTCATCATTTCTCCTTCTACGATTCTTCATTTCGTCTCCCTTGTAATTGAAACGGGACCATTATACGAGGTATTGATGCACCTACAACTTGCTTCCTTTGATTATGATGGCCTTCAACGACACCCTCGTCGACGCCTTCCTCTTCACCTTTGATGGGGATTCCACGGACGAGACTATCTTGATGGACCACGCCACAAAAAAGAACCCAGGTAGAATCATTGCTTCCAATCCGCTTCCAATCTTTCACCTTGTTTTCCAACCTCAACAGCTGGAATCTACCGACCAAGGAAAATGCTTCCAATCTTTCACCTTGTCAACCTCAACAGCTGGAATCTACCGACCAAGGAAAATTGACAAACCCATTAGTTTGACCCATAACGCGAACATGTAGCTGAATAGGTTAATGGACCACGGAATCCATATTGGCAGAACAAAACAAATGTCATGGTGGATGCAATGAAGTTGGGTTGATCTGAGCTGGGATGACACCGTAATCGACAAATATGGAGTGTTGATCGAAGCAAAACGGTAATTGAAGACCGAACCAAAACTGAACCTTATAGAACAAGAGATCAGAGTCATATAGTAAAGTCACTCAGTCTGCCTCACTAGCGACCCAAAGCTTAATGGTGGAGTCAAAGATGTAACTCTCTTCCTGTAAGTCAATCTTAGCTCGAGTCATCCAGGATTGATCATCCAGGGCAACCTATCCAAAATTTTATGAAGATATTGGGGATCCATAAGCAGAGCACGATAATGAAATCCGAGAAACCAAAAGGAAGGGAAAGATCAAAAGAATACACCTACACAACACTACGCCTTTTATATATAGATAGAAACAGAGGAAGTCTGACTATTGCACCAGGGTAAAAATTGAAGTAAACAGCCATTTCTATAATAAGCTATTAGCGGAATCACACCATCATAAGAAACATGGCAAGAAAATTACTTTTATTTGGGAAATAATACTTAAATTACAACAAAGTACTTGGAAATTAGCCCGACGCTAAATATTTTACTAAGGGATTTGTTGCTTCTGTTAAGATAAGCCTTAGTCAAAGCAGTCTCCTATATAGGAGCACCCCTTCGTATATAAATTGATTCAGCCGATCTGATTCAGCTTGTTCCTGAAAGATCAAGGACATCTCCTGAACATTCAACAATTCTTGATGAAGTGTCACCGCCGTCTCCTCTATTCCTCTCCATATGAACCAATAGAGCTCTCAATTTCGTCCAAACAATCCATGGATGTCAGGAGTCGATCAGCTACCTCCCCGCATCCTTCATAAGGGTTTTCAAGGTGATCAACCTCGCCATCCTCGCTCGAGAGCCGACTGCCCTCGCCTGGCGGCAGCTATGATTGACCCCTTAATCGAATTCCTATCCGAGTCTATAAAAGTCGGATCATTAACCAAGTTTATCAGAGCCAAGTCATCTGCACTAAGAGAAAAAAACAAAGACTTCAAAAAATCAAATCCTACAAACAAGACCAAAGCCCCTCATACTCAAAAATTGATTCCATTCAGATAACGCAGTCGACATAGCACCCTCATCAAGGAGCACCAGTGAAAGTGATAGAAGAATAACAAAAACTTAGTGACCTGTTCAACCAGAGGGTCTTGTGCCACAGCAGAAGGTTGGGTGGTCGGTTCAAGGATCAGTTTGATAGGTTGAGCGTTCCTCCGCGTCACGCTAAAAGTCAAATTAGATTATCCCACCTAATCTGATTAGGGGAGTGCAACCTTTTTCTTCTTCACAATGACCTTCTTCTCACCTTCTTGGAGGCCCTGTTCTTTTGGTTTCTCAAAAGCGGAGCGAATAAGATCTTTGGTGGGAACGTCAACATATGGTTTAGGTATCCATTACAATGCCTAACACACGGAAGCTGTTTAACTCAAAAAGGAAAGGTGCAGAAAATATAAGGAATGGAAATAAGTCCTATCGCGCCCCATTTATAAGCATCGAAGCTACCAAAATCAATGAAGCTTAATCATTGAATCATTAATTAAAATTGAATGTGATTTTCTTCTACATTAAATTCTCTCATTCTTATCATAATGTCGTTTTCAAGAATTAAGAGAATCAAGAAACTAAAATATATACATCGAAAATGATTCTGCACTGATTATCAAGGGTTCTAATGTTTTAGAAGAGAAGAGTACAATGAAGGTTGACCCACCATTAAAAGATCGTGAGGCCCACAAGACCGAACGAGCAAAGTCATACGAGGCAAGTTAACTAGCCAAAACCGACTAAAACATGAGGTCGACAAAAAGATGATTGAATGATCCAAGCATGAGCCATCTAGTTAGAAATGAGCTAAAAGAGCATCCGAGCCAAACACTACAGCCTACCCTCCCTTCCCCCAATCGCTTGAACTAGGACTGCAATAGGCTGGGCAGGCAGGGGAGAAGAAGCTCGGTACAAGGCGCCCCCCAACCAATAGAGCTAATCCAATAACTAACCAGGCTGAATCAGCCGACTGAGCTGGCCCTGTCGACCCAAAGTCAACCAAGCTTAATCGACAGAGCTAGAAAGCAATCGGATGAAAAGTATATACATGTAAAATACCCTAGCACGAACCCCTTCCGAATAGAAATAAAAATATAATTTCATCATTGTACTTTCGCCCCAATAAGTACAAAAAATATATTATAAAGAGGACACTATTCATCATTGTTCATTACTATCTCTATCTCCTGCTCTTCTTAGTTACGCTCCATCCCTTAGGTGTGATTCACTACAATCTCAGATTAAACAAAAAAATTGTTATTGATCATGAAATGAAGTCTTAAATTACAAATCCTATCCACCTTGTCTTCCTCTTCCTTCTCTTCTTACTTCTTCCTTCTTATTCCCCTTCTTATTCCTTTCCTCCCCCCTTTTCGGGAATCCACATCTACCATGTTTGAAGAATTGCATCTCCATTACTGAATCTAGATAGTGTGCACAACCTCGCAACCCGTCCACTAAACTGGTCCCCTTACATTTCCTAACTTAAATAAAAAATTTTCTAATGATTTTAATCAGTCATAAGTTTTCTTTGCAAAACGAAAATAAAAAAAAACAATCGAATATAATATGTTCTGTAAAGCCAATATAGGATCCATTCTTGATTAACCACGTCCAAAGGATAAAACATTAAAATGATAAGTTAAGGTTGAGCAGAACAAATTAACACAAACCACCCAATCGCGAGTCTTTGCAAGCCTCTTGGCAAGTGCATATATGCAATAGGCTATGTCAGCCCGTGGTCGAGCAACAGATATTGATGTAAATATTCCTGAAATTCATTACAAAGAAAAAGTGATCAATGGCGCTTCTACAACCCAAAATATGATGAAAAGTTAATCACAATAAACCTTAAAATAATAATGGCAAAAAAAACATCCAAAAAGTTGAATTAAAAAAATGTATCAAATTCTAAGAGAAGAAAGAAAACACAGCAAACCCACTCCTAACGTGTCGTTCTTTTGGTGGGCATTCTTCGTGATTTGTTGCTTTCACAATGGCAATATCCAGTTCCTTCATCAAATTCAACAATCCCAAATTATTAAAAAACCAGAAGGGAACAAAACCAAAATGCGAAAAATTCATTCGTTCTTGAAATCAAATATACCAACCTTAAATTCACTACTGAATTTGGCAATGCCAACCCTTGTGGAATCCTTAAGGGCGCCATAGGCTCTCCTCCATGTCCCCATTTCCTCTTCTCTCTATATTTCTCTCCCTCTATCCGTCAATCCATTGAGAAGAGAGAGGCAAAGATATCGTTTCTCCTTCTCTGTTAACCCTCGAGAGGTTAGAACAAGGAGAGAGACGATTCGGAGAAGAAAACTTCCCACGCTCCCTCTCTAAAATTACGATGTATTTTATATCTTGCAAAATATGCACGTACTGTCGCCAGTTTGAAATAGTCTGCAAAACCCGGAAAATATTTGAGTTCATGTTATATCTTTGTTATACTCCTGTAATTTTATTGTAATTTATCTATAATTTATTTGTAATTTACGAATAAATTGTGTGCTTCTATAATTCTGATAGGTACAGATAAGTTACAGGGAGGTTATAGAGGGTATAACGTGAATATAACCCCTGTACACTCTGAATAACCTCTGACACACGCAACGCTGCGACGCAAATATTTTCCGCAAAACATAAACAAAGCTCAATGATTTGTTACAATTTCATTAGCATTTACACACTTATCTATTCAACAAGCCAGGAAAGAAGATTTTATGTCCATCATTAAAAACACAAATGTATAAATATATTTGCATATAAATATTTAATCATTTATATAAGATATTAGATTAAATTTTGGGGTATTCACAGACATATTCCAAAATCTTATGTATTTACATATCCAATACTTATATTTTATCTTTTATATTTGTCATCTAAATCTTTCATCATGTCAAACATATTAACATTTTGATTTTTAGAAGGTTATTTTTTTCATACATGAATAAAATGGGAGTGGCAAATTTGTAAATCGTCCGTAAATTTTATGTTTATGATTTATGAATAAAGGATTTAATTTAAAAAGTTAAGATAGATTAATATTTTAAAAAAATGATCATTTGTTTAGTTGTTTTAGGGTCACTTTAACGAAAAAATATTGTGTCTATTGTTCGGGCGAAATTCGAGTCTGGACAATGGCTGCAATACACAAAGGAGAAAAAAACGGACAACCCTTTAAACATTATGTCAAGTTTTTCTTCAAAGTCCGAGTCAAGTCCGCACTGCTTATATTTCTTTGCTGACGACATTACCTGTGTCATTGAAATGGAGGAGAGGGTTTAGTGCGTTTATTAGAGAAAATAAGTAATGTATATCAAAATAAAAGTATAAAAGTGTGTTTATTACCTCCAATTTCTCAGCCCACCATTCCTTCGGGGCATCGATTGTCCGTTTAATGGGATCCCAACCCAAATGTTTATTACCTCCAATTTCTCAGCCCACCATTCCTTCGGGGCATCGATTGTCCGCTTAATGGGATCCCAACCCAAACATGTACATCCACGTTTGAGCTCCTTCCAAATTTTTCATTCTTTCTTCAATTGGTCTCATTTGTTTTTGAATTTTAGCCCGTCATCATCCCTGCCAGTGAATTCTTTAAACCTCTTGGCAATATTTTGCCAATATTCCTTGCTAAAATACGTGGTTGGTCTATTTCCCAGTTCTATTTCATTCATTGTTAAAATACGTGGTTGGTCTATTTCTCAGTTCTATTTTTTTAATACATAGATCTAAAAAAACATTTGTTACTTCTTTATCCCACATAGCAGACAGGCCCTCTTCATTCGCCTTAGACATGTTGACACTATAAGGAACTTAAATTTTGTAAGTCAACAAAAAATTTATAAACATGATGCAAATTTCTTAGCATACAAACTATAGAAGAAAGTTGTACTAAATTATGAGATAAAGAAACAAATCAAATTCAAGATTTGCTTCAGTTTGAGTACATCAAATTAGAAAATAAAATTACATATTAGTATAGCCCTTTGATGTACATCCATATAAAATCTAGAGAATTGCATTTTTTATGAATTTTTGCATTGAATTATATAAACACATTATCAAAGCCTTTTGCACGGGCTCTTTTTCAAAGGCAAGGGCGAACTAATAGACATAAGGAGGGGGGAGAGAGAGAGAGAGAGAGATGAGTGAGAGATTATCAAATTTTACTGAATTTTCTTTAATCCTCTTTTAAAAAAGCCGTAATACCCTACTTGAAAAGTATCATTACTCATCATTGGTTTGGAAGATCTATTTGCCTAAGTAACAATTTTTTGGCCTAAGTAACAATTTTTTTGGTAAGGACAATTTTGTGCTCCTGCTTTGATAATGTTGCATAAAAGTATAAAAACTCCCTTGATAAATGACAATAACAAAGATAATTTTATCACAATCCTTTAGAAGAGCACAAATGATAGAAATTAGCTTGCTTGGAACTACACCTCCGAAATGAAGATGCAGAAAAATCAGAATAACCCTCAAGCCATAGATCTAAGCTAGGATATACCCAACAACCATTCATTCATATATCACACCAAAAGTTAAAAAATATATATTGTTTGCATCTCCACCTAAAAAAAAAACCAACAGAAAAGACATACATTACGAATCAGAAAGGAAAATCGAAATTCTAGGCGGGAAGTAAGGAGAGGGATATCGGGTATACCTTGCGCGATCTCTAAAGGAGAGGAGGATCGGCGGGCCGAGAGAGATCTGCTAGACAAGGCATGCGATTCTCCTGGAAAGGGCGTCAATCTCCTGGGCGAGCAGAGGAGATTCTCCAAGGGCGATGGCGTGGGAGCTAGGTGATCTGCGATTCTCCAAGAGCGGTGGGAGAGCGAGGTGAGGCGGCGAGTGAGATTTGCGAAGGGTAGCACAGGGATTAGGAAAATTGATATGCGGGATGAAGGAGGCGGACGACTTGCGAAACCACGAAGAAAAAAGCGATAAAAAACCATCGTGACACCAAAAAGTTAGACCGATCGCGATATTGCAAGATAGAAGTTTGAAGCGGGTGTCCATACATTTTATTAGGGCTTGTACATCATTTTTGAGGAAGCCACTTTTTGTTTCTCAGCTCCCATGGATTCCTTGTTAGCGAACTATGCTTCCTCCGACGACGAAGGGGAAGCCGAAGAAGTCTCTCGTCCTATTTCTACTTCCAAGCTCTCTTCTCTCTCCACAAATCTTCCTCCCCCCAAATCCTCCTCGTTCTTCTCCTCACTTCCTCCTCCCCGAATTGCCACCTCTTCTTCTCCTTCTTCCTCTTCCCCTTTGTTTTCTTCTATTCCCCCTCCCAAATCTCAGTTTCCCAACCACTCTCTAGATGATTATAAGAGAGAAGATGATGGAGGAAAGCCCTACAGGAAACTGCCGTCCTCCTCCATCTTCTCTTCTCTGCCGCCACCCAAAACTTCCTCCTCTGCCACTTACTCCTCGCTCCCCGCCCCTAAATCTCAATCGGGAAATCCTTCCAACAAACCATCATTAGATCAAAACGCTAGAAAGGTCGTTCCTTTCACCATTCCATTGAATCCTTCAATGCTCAAATCACATGATCCTGATGAGGAGGAGGACGAGGAGATGATAAGAAAAGTCAGAAAGGATGCTCCGCCTTTGTCCGCCCCAAAAGCGCTCTCTTCAATGCTTCCTGCACCGAAAAACTCTATCTGTCTAGCTCCGGCTCAATCCATGGGTGTGTTGAGGAGATCCAGCTTGCAAACGGATGCCCTTCCTCTGAATTTTCAACAGGAATCGAAAGCAGAGAAAGAAGAAGGCAGTTTTGCAAACTATTCTACGTACCGTGCAGAGCAAGGCGTGGTTACTGGCTATGAGATCTATGGGAGTTATAGTGCAGGACAGGGAGTTAATGATTATGAAAATTTCACCAATGATGATCGAAATTGGGCTGGCGGAGCAGTGAATCCTGTGGCCATTACCTCTGTGGATTCAACTTATGTAAGTATTCCTGCAATAACTGGGAGCGAGCAGGATAATGAGAACAATTTTGGTTACAGAAGTTACATGGATAACTGGTCCAATGTTTCTGAAGGAGCAACAACATCTGGGATTCCTGATATTGGGAGAATCGCAGGTAAGAGAGGAAGAACAGATATTCCAACAGAGATCGTGGAGGTGAAGCAGGATGAGTTGATGAAGAACAGACCCAGAGAGGACCAGGTTAAATCGACCGGAATTGCTTTTGGACCGGCCTATCAGGTTTGAATTTTCCCATTGTTTACTGATTTCTTTTCTTGTTTTGTGCATGGAATACTCAAAAATGCATTTTTGGATTTGGATTATTGTTTTCCAATTTTTAGTATTCTAATATGTTGATTTTAGGAATGATCGGGAGAGAATCTCACTTGTTTAGTGTGTTGCAAGTTAATAACTTTGTTTTTCATAAATCTGTTAAGTAAATTTTGGGAAGAATTGTATACGTTTCATGCATAGTTCACGATGGTCCATTGTTAATTCTGCTGTAATATTTTATGACTTTCTTGTGCTCTTGTCTTTATGGTAATGCGATGCCAAATTGACTTGGCCTAGCTCTGCCCAGCTTCAATCTCCACATACATGAGCTATATTTGCTTTTAGGTGCATTTGCATACATACTAGACAATTCTTATGTATTTTGATATCTAACTCCTAAGTTTTAATTTGTACATCTATAACGCTCAAATCTTTCATAGCACATCACAAATACTACTATTGCTAACTTTTAAAAAGTGAGGTACACATTTTCAAGCATAGATAAAGTGGTATAAATGTAAAATTCAAAGTTTAGGTGTTAGATATGTAAATGCATTGGAATCGTGTAGTAATCTTTATTACAGTAGTTTTTTTTTTTTTTTTCATTTTGTATGATTTAGTTTTCTTCTAAACTTATTCACTAAAATTATTGTGCATTAAAATGCCAGTGGCAGTGAAAATGACTCTTTGATTTATGCTTTTTGCATTTTGTCTTCTTTTTTGCATGGCCATTCAACCTTTACTGAACCAAAAAACCTGCAACTCTGAATGCAATGACATCTAAATTCATTGCTGATTATGTCATAGTGGCTATTTATTTATAAAAATGGAGATTTTCATGCAATTTACTAAAATGTTTCTTATTTACAGCACTAAAAACCAGGATTTCAAAGTGAACTACCGGACTTGTGTATCTGCATGTGATGGATCAAAATTACTAAGAATTTAACAAAACATTGAGAATGAATGTTAGCACTTCTATTGTGCTCTTTAAGATTTATGTAACATTACAGTAAGTGAAAGCACCTAATTGTTATTTTTGTAAATTCATGATGGTTTGATGTTTCGTAAGAAATTGCACCTTTATATCAATTTGTTCATGTCAACCATCAAGGAATCCTCAAGGGCTGGAACCAGTCAACACAGTTATGGAAATCAATGAAGAATTTTGCAGCATATTGTGAATGAAATTTAGTAGCTTTTTCGGAGCTATTTGGGTGCTTTTATTGTACTTATAAGCACTCAATTGTTACTTTTGTAAATAAGTAAGGAGTGTTGAATTAGAAATTCTCTCTTTTAATATATATATATATATATCGATTCGTCAATATCGATCATCAAGAGATCTTCAAGGCTTGAACTAGCCAACACAGTTATGAAAACCCAGCTTAGGGAGTCAACTTTGTTGAATTATGACTATCCTAGGAGTCAGATGACATTTGATTAATTGTTTTATTTGTTTTCTTTTGTCATGCTTATAGTTATTATCTAATTACTATCCATAGGGTTATGGATGCTTTATTTTGTCAATTCTGATGAATTCGACTTCCCCGCTAAGTCCCATTCTCATCCCCAATGCTTCTACTACTCTGTGTTTTCACGAGTCTAGTACTTCACGACAAGTTTTCTTATTTCTTTTCCCTTCCCTATTTTTGTTACATCTTTTCTCTCTAAGTAATCTAATTCCAGAACAGCACCTTTTGGTTTTCTGGTTTTATAGCTGCTTTCTCTTTCTTTCTTCCTCTTTGACGCCTCAACCTGACTTTTTAGTTTTCTATTAGATGAGCTAATTGAAACATTATTTTCCCTCACTGTAATCTGCTTTTCCGAGCAACTTCTGAATCCTACTGAGCCTTTCTTCCTCACAATTATATTGTCAGAAATCCCCAGTAAGGTCTCCATTCAGCTTCATTAAGTTAAGTATTAGACTAAGAGTTTACTGTGTTGTAAATGTTTGAAAAGGAGTGTATGATGTATGTTATTTTGACCCCCAATTATTGAACTAAGGTAAAAGGACACTTTTGTAATATGGTTTCGCTCACCTACCACATCTCACCTACCACTCTCTTGCTTCTATAAATAGAGAGGGTGTGAGGCTTAGGAGAGCAAGGGAAGAGATCTTAAGCTACCACAAAGGAGGAGAGAATAGCTAGAGAGCTAGAGAGGAGGAGAGCATCTTGAGGCCTTGTATCAAGGTGTCGCTTGAGAGGGAGGCCATAGAAGGAAGATGAGGGTTCATCTCTATGTATAATCTATGTATTCTCCATTTCTTTTGCTTTAGTGAACTATTTGATTGATTCCCTCCCGTGGACGTAGATCCAGTTGGATCGAACCAAATAAACGATCTGTGTTTGTTTGTGTTCTTTGCGTTTCATTTCTATGTTAGGAAGTACATATCTCACAACAATTGGCGCCGTCTATGGGAAAATTCATACTTCTTAGCTAGAGGTGTCCGTGTAAAGGTGTTCGCGGCCAGCGACGAAGAAGAGGAGTTCGGCATTCACGAACAAAGAAGCAAGTGGATCGCGTCGCAAGCAGCCGAATTGCGACAGATTAGGTGAGCAGTGAAAACTTTGATCGACTGGATTCGCATCGCAGGTTGTGCGGTTTGGCGAGATGGAGGAGGAACAGTCCGCGAGCGAGGGCCGAAAATTTGCGATAGGGCTGCCAGCAGAAGATTTCGGAGTAGGAGTTCGGCCTTGCGAGTAGCTCGGCCAGAGGGAAGAGGCGGAGATCGCGCAGAGAAGGGTTCGGGAGTTCGCGAAGCAGGAGGACCTGAGGACCTGAGCAAGGAGGACCTGAGCAGTTTGGCGAGGCGCGACGGCTCTGGAGAGACAGTTATTCTCGTGCGAGAGACAGATGAGGAATTCCTAATTTGTTCTGTTGGACGCAGAGGAGTGCCTGCGAGAAGGAGGCTCGAGCACAAAACATGAAGTTTTCTCTGGTGAACAGGTGTGATCTCTGCCAGAAGGGATCAGAGCTCTCCGTTCGGTTGGCGAAGGTAGTAGAGTTCATGGGGAGAAGGTAAGAAATTTGGTGAGAATTTCTTGGACAACAAGGCGTTAAAAGGCAGGTTTAGACTGAAATTTTTTTGTTGTTATACAATAGTACAACATTTTGGTGATTTCAGCATAGTTCTTGGAAGGGCAGCAGATATAATTCATTGGAAGAAATTCTAGCCACGACAATGAGTTCCGCTAAATTCGACATTGAGAAATTCAACGGGAAGAACGACTTCGGCCTATGGAGAGTAAATATGAGAGCTCTATTGATTCAACAGGGTGTTGCAGAAGCTTTGCAAGGGTCGGCGGCATTGTCGGCCGACATGACCGAGAAGGAGAAGATCGACATGCTGGACAAGACCCACAGTTTGATAATCCTGAGCCTGGGCGACAAAGTTCTGAGGGAGGTGTTGAGAGAGACAACGACTCAAGCACTTTGGGTCAAACTCAAGGTACTCTACTTAACAAAGTCTCTGGCTAATAAACTCTTTCTGAAGCAGCCCCTATACTCCTTCAAAATGCATGAAGACAAATCCGTCTCAGAGCAGATTGACGAGTTCAACAAGATCATCGACGACCCCGAGAACATTGACGTCAAGATGGACGATGAGGACAAGACATTGCTGTTGCTAAACTCTATTCCTAAGAGCTACGAGCATTTCAAGGATGCGATGCTCTATGGAAGAGTGCAGACTATTACTCTGGAGGAGGTTCAATCTCTGATTAGAGCCAAAGAACTTCAGAGGAAGCATGACAGGGACAAGGAAGTCAGCGGAGATAGTCTTATTGTCAGAGAAAGATCGGACAGGAAAAATTCGAGAAATTGTCAGCACAGATCAAGGTCAAGCAAGGATGGCGGGAATCAGTCATCAAGGGGATCTTTCAAGTGCTATCATTGTCACAAGGACGGTTATTTCAAGAGTAACGGCCCATACAGGAAGAATGAGTACCAAGAAGAGCCAAAATTATCAGGAGAAGCAAGCGTAGCCTCTGATGACTACGATTCTGCTGAGGCCCTGGTGATCACAGAATCTGAATCCAATAAGGAGTGGATCTTCGACTCAGGGTGTTCTTTCCACATGTGTCCTCATAAAGACTGGTTTGAGACACTGCAACAGTAACAGGAAAATGATGAGTCCGTTCTACTCGGAGACAATAAAACTCACAGGGTTGTTGGAAGTGGATCAATCAGGATAAGAATGTTTGATGGAGTTGAACGAGTACTGAAAAATGTCAGTTACGTACCAGAGCTAAAAAAAAACTGATTTCTTTAGGTATGCTGGAGTCAAGCGGATGCTCGTTCAAGACAGAGAATGACTGCACAGAGTAACCAAAGACCCTCGTGTCGTCATACAAGGAGTCAGGAAAAATGGGCTGTACTTTCTTATCGAAAGAACCGTGATTGCTAAGTCTCTGTACTGTTTGAACTTAGCAAACTCAAGCAAGGGCTGAGGGCCCCTCAGGGGCCAGGTGGAGGGAATCTTTACTTCGAAGCTTCTCAATTGAGGGTTAAGGTGGAGCATTGTTATTTTGACCCTCAATTATTGAACTAAGGTAAAAGGACACTTTTGTAATGTGGTACTTCTCACCTATCACATCTCACCTACCGCTCACCTACCACTCTCTTGCTTCTATAAATAGAGAGGGTGTGAGGCTTAGGAGAGCAAGGGAAGGGATCTTAAGCTACCACAAAGGAGGAGAGAATAGCTAGAGAGCTAGAGAGGAGAAGAGCATCTTGAGGTCTTGTATCAATGTGTCGCTTGAGAGATAGGCCATAGAAGGAAGATGAGGGCTCATCTCTATGTATAAGCTATGTATTCTCCATTTCTTTTGCCTTAGTGAACTATTTGATTGATTCCCTCCCTTGGACGTAGATCCAGTTGGATCGAACCACGTAAACGATCTGTGTTTGCTTGTGTTCTTTGCGTTTCATTTCTATGCTAGGAAGTACATATCTCACAACAA